AAATAAAAGTAGTGGTGGGGAAAAAAAAGTAGTAGTGGATGCACACCCATGGTTATTGCTGTGTTATTTACAATAGCAAAGAGATGGGAGCAACCTAAGTGCCCGTCAACAATCAAATGGATAGAAAAACTATGACACGTCCACACAATGGAATACTAGACAGCACTTAAAAACAAAGATGGGTGACCTAGATGGCATTATGCTGAGTGAAATATCTCAGTCACAAACGGACAAACGTATAACACCACTGTTATAGCAAGACTGAAAAAGGGGTAGGGGAGAGAATAGGAAAAGAATGGATAGATAATGAGTCATAGTTTTTCTATCCATTCAGTTGTTGATGGGACTGTTTAAAAGGAATGTATGGTAAGGTATTATATGTATAGTAATCCAGAATAAGAGGTACACTGCAAAGTGAATTGGGGAGGGGAAGAGAAGAGAAGAAAATGTGCAACAATGAATGAATGACAATCTAACTTTCCTGTAAACTTTCATTAAAATCACAATAAAATATAGTAAAAAAAATTAAAGTAATGGTGGAGAAAAAAAGGATAAAAAAGGAAAATACAGATTTTTAAGTGTCTATAGTATCTAGGAAGCAGGAGTGGCATTCACTTCCGTAAATAGCTTGCCTCCGGAAACCCTACGAACATGGAGAAAGGATGAAAGTCACTCAACTGTTGAGGACTTTCGTTCATAAGGTCGCTATGAGTCACCTACGACTCTATGGTACTTAACAACAGCGACAATAGTATCTAGGGATGATAGAAGGAGAATTGATGCTTTGAGCTGGAGAAGAACATTAAATATACCATGGAATGCTAGAAGAACAAACAGGTTTATCCTAGAGAGGATGAGACCAGGTTACTCCTTGGAGGCAAAGATTCTCTAGATTCATCTGACATAATCTGGACATTAGGCAAGGAGGGACTAGTCCTTGGAGAGGGATGTCATGCTTGGAAGAGGGCAGCACAAGAGAGGAAGACCCTCGATGAGATGGATCGATTCAGTGACTGAGGTAATAGAGGTAAGTGTGTCAGAGACAATAAGATTGGCACAAGATAGAGAAGGATTTGGGGCTGTTGTACATAGGGTTGTTATGAGTCACAGGTGACTCGATGGCACATAACAACAACAAATTATTTATACATATATAGGGAGCTCTGGTGGCTTAGTGGCAAGAAGCTGCACTGTAATCCCAAAGGCACGCAGTTTGAAGCAACTAGCTGCTTCCCAAAAGGATTGGTAATCTCCTCCCGTACAATAAATTGCCTCTGAAAAACCACTGGAGGGTCAGCTATTGGTTGGTTTTGACTCTATGGTACATAACAACAAAAATATGCATATATATGTATCTACAGCATGGTCTATAGCATGTTGTGCTGCTAACCAAAAGGCAATGTCTTTGGTGGTATGAATCCACTAGCAGTTCCATGGGAGAAAAGATGGACAATCTCCTCCTAAGATTTACTGACTTGGAAACATGATAGAAGGTTATCATTAGTTGGAACGGACTTGACAGCTGTAGGAGCATAGTCTGTCAGTGCAAGGCCAGCCATTTTTTATACACTTCATTTGTAACTCCTCACAATTTATGATATAAGTATTACCTTAGTTTTACATATGAAGAAACTGAAGTTCAAAGAAGTTATGTAACTTATCATTTCCCAGAGTAATTCACTTCTGTATAATTCTAAACCTATGATCTTATCATTACAGTGATTTTAAAAAAAACTGGAAAATATAAATCTCTCACACATCTTTGAATACACACACACACACACACACACACACATGTTGTTGTTGTGTTGTTAAGTGTCGTCAAGTCATAGACACCTCGCGAGCGACCCTATGAACGAAAGACCTAAATACTTGTATAACTTTGGTCATTTCTCCATATTCATAGAGTTTCTGGAGGTAAGCCATTTGGAAGTGGATGCCAGTCCTGCTTCCAAGCTTGTTTTAATTGGGAAGCTCCACCAAACACTGTCTACCATGGGTAACCATTATCACATTTGGCACATCAGTGTCACAGTGTTTAGCATCACAGAAACCACAAGTTACCTCTGTACAGCAATGAACAGACCAGTGCTTTACCACTTAGAAAGAAGAACGTTTGACAAAAAACAATTTAGGAGGGCCGCAGATTAAAATCACCCACCTTGGGCTTGGTAGCATAACTTTTATGTTTATATTTATATTTATAATATGTGTGTGTGTGTGTGTGTGTGTG